TATCAATCATCAAACCGTGGGGTCTTAATTCATTACGTGTTGATTTCTATCAACGGGGGAGTACTTCAGGAAAGTCGAGGCTTGGGGGGGGGGGCGGCGGCTCGTGGAGTACTTCGTGACCACAGAGTGTGAACGTTGTGATCAGCTGTTTTAGCGCAGTTCTCCAATTTTGGCACAATTCTGTTGTCCAGACCGACGTTAACAGCCCCGTCTGTGCACACGGAGACCGACTCTGTCGTCCGGCGATCTAACCGCCTTCTGGAAAAGCTTCACAAGTACGTCGGTACGCAAATGTGCTTTGTGACACAAGTGACGGTACGCATTTCAGATTACGCACATAACCTGCTGCGTACCAGTTATGTGCACCCCTGTACTACAGCAAAAGTATTCTCCGTCGGGACTTCCTGCAACAACACCACGCCGTTATCTTGATTCTGATTGGCAAGAAGACATTATTAAAGATGTTCTATTGAGAAGACGATCACTACGTGACAANAAAAGTTTTCAAAACCGTTTCTGGTCTGCGGTATTTCCAGACAAGTGGCTACTGAAATCAATCTTACTAACTGCTGTCTGTGCAATTCTCGGCGCGAGTTGGCGGACTTTATTTTGCTTACTTTAACATCATTTTTCATGGCGGGGCTAAGCCATTTATTGGTATGGGTGTAGCCTACCCCAGCCANCGAAGTGGCTACTGAAATCAATCTTACTAACTGCTGTCTGTGCAATTCTCTGCGCGAGTTGGCGGACTTAATTTAGCTTACTTTAACATCATTTTTCATGGCGGGGCTAAGCCATTTATTGGTATGGGTGTAGCCTACCCCAGCCATACCCTGGCGCTGCCACTGGTGCGATGTATGGGTCGTGCCGTTCTGCACATGCGTTAAATGCGTTAAATATTTTAACGCAATTAATTACCGCCGTTAACGCGATAATTTTGACAGCATTAGTAAAAATACTTAAATAAATGACCAATCCAGCCAGCTAACCAATCAGAGCAGACTGGGCTCTGGTTTCAGACAGAGGGTGAAAAGAGGTGCTGCAGCACAGGCAGTATGAGATCAATAAAGAGCTTTTTGAACATTAAAGCATGGAGACATGTCATAGTAGAGCTAAAACATAGAAAAATGAAACTTGAAAATGACCATAGTAAAGCCCCTTTAGTTCAGCAGTACTAATAGTGTTAAATACTCTGTTACATGTTAACGCCCTTCAAGGTCCTGACATAAATGTCACCTTTTATGCAAAATCCTCTTCTTCATGTCTCTTCTACATCAACATGTGTCCCCTCTGTGGAAAGAGACTCTGAAAGTTTCAGGAACAAAGATTCTCTTTCTTTTTGTCCTGATCCATTTATATAAAAACCCGTCTGAAAATGAGTTGATCAGATTTTGGCCACTTTATGATGTCATAACGATTTTTTGGCTTGTGTAACCATTAGCCAATCAGCAACCAAGGTNCGAATCTCCTCCTAGAGCACCATTGTGTTCTTTTTAACCAAATATCTCTGAGGGGTGTAATTATTGATGCATTAATGTGTTAATCACTGTAATATCGCAGCTGATAAAGGTGGTGTTCATTTTAATTACTTTATATACTGCTGTAGTTACAGCTATAATAAAACATACTTACACATACAGTACATAGATTGTGCTCACTTTAAACAGTTTTCTGATTGTGAAAACTGTATTTCTGTTTACGTCCCTAAGGTTTATACGTATATTCCTGTGTGTGTGTGTGTGTGTGTGTGTGTTTTATTAAATGGCATTAATTATATAAGTGTTCACCCCTCATCTTGTCTGTTGCTTCTGGTCGTCTCTGTTCCCTCCTACTGATTACCCAATTGTGTTCACCTGGTGTCCTGTGTTTGCTCCTCCCCCCTCACCTGTGTCTAATTGCTCCCCCCTCACCTGTGTCTTGTTAGTCTGTGTATTTAAGTGCTGTTTCTTGTTGGGTGTGTGTGAACTTTGTGCACATTGTTTTAATAAATGCCCACCCCGGGTTATATTTTTGGACGTTCTGCCTCCTTGCTTGGTCGGGCCGCTCAACGGTCAGTCTCACAGTGTGTATGTGTCAGATTACAGCTCATAATGAAAACCCCATACACACAGATCGATGACGGGTAATTTGACTGTATACACTTTTCCAAAATGCTCCTAGTTTTTCCCTAATTTTTCTCCAAACGCACTTTCATTTTTTCCCCTCAAATCACAATAATGTCTTTGCTTCCCAAAAAACATATTTCTCATTTTAAAAATAAATCCAAAATAATAATATTTATGACAAACATCCTCAATTCCTTAATTATGATTTATTTTTCTCACTTACATAAACTTTCAAACTTTCACATTTTCTGACCTCTTTTTTGCCAAATTTTCCCATGTTTCAAAATCATCAATACCTTTTAGAAAAATCCACATTTGTCAATACTTTCAAAGAAAATATAATAAATATCCAAACTTTCCCAAAATATCAATGTTTGGAAGCAAATGTGCATGCACGCGCCCTTGCTGTATATGTGTCGGGAACGCGCAACTGCAGCAGTTCAGCGTGTGTAGCGGGGGGGACGGGGAGGAGGGGGGAGTATGAATGTTACGAGTCATTTCTCATTCCACTAATTTAGCAGAGAGCTGAAGAAGGGGGCGGACTGTCGAGGCTCTGCAGCAAAAGCACCAGAAAACCTACAGCACGCAAACGCACCGGCGGGCGGGTTCATGTGCTCCAGGTGAGCGGGGAGGGAGAGAGGAAATTACGCCGCAACGTCGATCACTCCTCCGCCTTTTATCCCGGAGATATCACGGAGAAAACTGCACCACACGCACACGGTGTACCGAAGAAACCCCTCCGGACAGCTGCAGAGGCTCACGACCGGGAAGGGGTTTATATTCCCGAGTGTTTGTTTCTTTTCCTTCCGCCCACGGAACGGAGCTCAGTGTTTACGCGGCGGCCGCAGAGAGCGAGGAGCGCTGGGAGGAGGAGGCGCTGCAGCCGGGGAGGAGCGGCCGAGCTGCGGACACACGGAGTAGCTCTCTAGGTGATTTCTTATTAATTTGTTTAGGTAAAGGGTTAATAACACTGTTCGGTGATAATACCTGAAGAGGAGTCTACCGCCACACTCCACCCCTAATGGGGTAGAAATCGGTTTGTTCTGCAGCCTCGGAGGGTCCGCTCGCACCTGCTCACTGCGGGGGCTGTATGATGTAGCCCCCGCTTCTGCTCCGGTTCTCTGCATCACCATCCTCAAACGTCCATCATCTCTTCCCCCCCACTACACACGCACGCGCAGACACACAGACCTACCATGCCGGCAGGGATGAAGCCGCTGGAGAAGTTCCTGAAGAAGCAGACCACGGCGCTGACCCGGGCCGGGGGTTTTGTCGGCGGGGTGGCGGATAAAGCCAGCGGGGGAACAGGGACGTCCCGCCGGCGGGCCAGCCTGTCCCGGGTCGTCCCTTTCTTCAGGGAGACTTCACCTGAAAGCGGCCATGCTCGGGAGGTGTTCAGGTGAGGATTTTTTTGTATTATTAATAAAAGATAAACACATTATAGTTGGGGGATTTGTGTGTACCTGCCATGGCCGTAGAAACCTGGACAGGGGCCCCTGGGGCAAACATTTAACAATGGTCCCCAAAATACAATTGCGAAATGAAACCGGTCTATGCTTTTACACTGAACCGGAAATAAACCAAACTCTTATTTGGGTCGTGTTATCAGGGCAAAGTCGGTTCTGAGGTCCTATTGAATTCCAACTATATATTTATTCCCGAAACACAGAAGTGATGTGATGATAATTAGCCCTGTGTGGATCGGCACACAATAATTTAGGATAGTGTGTTGTTTGAACTGGTTTAATGTAAAACCTAACATCTGTAGTTATGAAACGTAAATAAAAACAGTTGTCTGCATTGATCGCCAGGTCATTAGGGTTAGGATAAGGCCTTGGGTAAGGTTATCGTTAAAAAGATGTTCGAGCAGTTGTTTTCATCTTTTATTTTTCATATTTTTATGTTTCACGACGATTTAATTCAGTTTATTAAACACTCTGCTTTTTCTTCTCTGCTGGAACATTATGTCTGCAGAAACACTTTTTATTTAAATGTAGGTTTTGTCTTGCGAAACTTTTCATTAGGGTGCATATATGCCTTTCGATTAGGAAATACCAAAATGCACCTGGAGAGTCTGAAACTTTGTTTCAGTCAAATCCTCATCCGTGGTACCTAAAAGGTTATGAATTTTTAGAACTATAGTTGCATCGTTGTTGTACAATCTTTTAACTTTTAAACCTTTGTCCCCCCGCAGCCCCGACAGTGAGGACCCCCCCTCCTGGCCCTCTGCCACTGGGCCCAGTCTGGTGTCGGTACCCGGCTCCGGCTCTGGGGATGTCCGCAGCCCGTCTCTGTCCAGCGACGAGCAGAGCTCAGAGGCCAGCCTCATCACAGAGTGTGTCGGGGGAGGAGGAGGGGGGACACCTCTTCCTGCCGACACACCGGACAACCTTACACTCGCTCTGCTGGACAGCGCGGCGGGAAGACGATCCGGAGTCTGCACAGGTGAGAAACTTTCTCCGTACAACAAAACCTCGTCTACACTTCGGTGCTCTGCCTTGTGAAGAAAAATGAAATACGATATATTTATGAAATACCTCCATATCGATATTGCCGCGACAATGTAGGATTGACTATGGGTGCTTTCACAATATATTTATACAATGGGATGTGAGATTAAAAGGGTAAAGGAGAGAACATTGTTGTATAAAACTACATACATTTATTCTAATAAAGTAAGACACTCATGCAATACTACGATATCTCAAATCTATGAGGATATCTAGTCTTATATCACAATATCGATATGATTTTTATAAATATCCCAGCCCTTACATGTGAATGTCGGCTGTTGCTATTTACAGGGTTCATACTAGGGATACAGGATTTTAAAACAAATATACAATTGCAATTTTTAAACTTATCCTCCTCTAGTTCTGAAAATATTCACAATGTTTTTTGAAAGCTTACCTATTCCTAACCAGAGGTGGATAGATACACAGATCCTTTAGTTGCCTAGAAGTGAAGCTTATTTACAGTCTTCTCTTTCTCAATGTAAGTCAATGGGAAAAACTGTTTTTGGGCCCATTGACACCACTACATGTGTTGTGGTATTACATATCGTATGTAAACAGTAGATGGTTACTGTAAGTGTTTATTAAATTTAGAAGAATAAAAAGTATGATATTTCTTCTAAAATGTTCTACAGTAGTAATAAAAAGTAGAATAAAATGGAAATACCCGAATAAAACCACAATTATGTAAAGTCATGATTAGGTAAAGTACTTGAGTAAATGTACTAAAGTAGTTCCCACTACTGCTGCTATCTATTCTCAAGGCACTATTGTAACCTGGTGACCTCTATTAATGTGTTGTAATTACGGAGTTGTGTGTGATCTTCAAAACATTTAGATTATATCCAAAATGATAATATTATGACAAAATATCTTTATTGCACTTTCATATTTAAGTTCACAGGGCACTACTTTTAGATCCATGTTGCATCACCATATTATAAAAAATGGACATAACAGTTAGGGATGTCCCGATCACCTTTTTTTGCTCCCGATCCGATACCGATCATTTGATTTTGACAATTTGCCGATACCGATTTTTCCCGATCCGATCTTTATGCAATGCATTAAGAGAAAAAAATAAGAAAAAAAGCATTCAAGTTGTCCCTTAAGGTTATTTTTTTATTTAAATTGGATATTCTATCCAACATGGATATAGCTTATTTTTTTCACAGCAGCATTGGATCAGTTCAGTTGTGCAGCATTGGATCAAAACAAAATAAAGCTTATCAGTACTCGTTAGCTTACTGCTACAATTAGACACTGCGCCCTGCCCACTCTGTTGCCAGATTTGAGAGAAATAAGCAACCAGGTCTATGAAAACAAGCCCCAAAGAAGCAACACATACATGATGTTGTGTAATTTGAAACCAAAACTAAGGCCTCAGGATGACTTTAAGACTTGAACATGGTCATTTTTGTTTTGTAACATTGAATACAACATTTTAAAAAAGTATTTATAAAAAATAAAAATAAATTTTTTTTAAATCCTGATCCCCGATTTTTTTCCTCACGATTCCGATCGTTTGAAAATCACGTGATCGGCTCCGATCCCCGATCACGTGATCGGATCGGGACATCTCTAATAACAGTATTTTAAGTGAAACTCCCAGATCCCTGGCTAGTAGTATACTGTATGGAGTGTTTCTTTTAAATATGCAGCAGAGTTTTGCATAGGTGGAAGACACATTTGAAATCGCAGGCGATTATGTTAATTTCACTGAGGAAATCGCTGTTAAAATGTAACTTGTTAAGCTGCTTAATTTCAATCGCACAATACTTCACATTGGGGCTTCATTCACATGATGTCATTTTGAGTGTCGATTGAGAAGCGACAATGTTAGCATAGCCCTGATGGAACCCAACTCCATTCAGAAAAACAAGCATTCTAAAAGTTGTTTGCTTGTCATGTTGCGGACAAACCAGACAAAACATGAATTCACACTTTTTAAAAACCAACATCATTTGGACTTATTTTGGGCATCTTTTTGATCTGTTTATTGCAATTAAATCATCAACATATTTATTTTGGGTTGTCTCTAATACTTTCAGGCTGTTTTTTCATTTTGGCCAAACTGTGTTTGGCTGCGTAGCTTGTATACTAGTTCATATTTTTAAAACACAACTCAGACAAAGATTTTTTGTAATTTTGTTATTGCTTAGACTCATTTCAATTGTTTTCCGGGCCGAAAGGAATATTCTGTTTTGGTTATTTGATTCGTCACATTAGACATTTTTCATTACACTTGTGAATACCAAAGAAAAATTGATTAATTGATAGTGAATAATTTGTAGCTGCAGCCTTTGACTTCATGCATGAATGTGTAGCGTGCAGAGAGAGAAGGAGCAGCTGCTGCAGGGAGAAGTGAAGGGAACAAATTGATTTTGACATTTTTAGGATTCGTCCTCGACGTTCAGACGACGGTTTCTGTGAGAAAATACCAGAACAGGCCTGTTTTCTGCAGGATGCTTTATAGTTCATATAATACAGACAGTTCCTGCTGTGTGTGTGTGTGTGTGTGTGTGTGTGTGTGTGTGTGTGTGTGTGTGTGTGTGTGTGTGTGTGTGTGTGTGTGTGTGTGTGTGTGTGTGTGTGTGTGTGTGTGTGTGTGTGTGTGTGTGTGTGTGTGTGGTTACATAATCACTGCCGTCCTCTTTCAGAAACGCAGCCTGCTTATTACAGCTGAAGTGGGTGTGCATGCATGCGTGCACGTATGTGTCCCTGCAGGAATGTTTGCTTTTGTGTGTGTGTGCGTGCCTGCAGCAGTGATTGCTGTCTGTAAGTGACTACAGGGTGTGTTTGTGTCCACGTTTCATTTGTATTTTTCCAGAAATCAAAATCAAAATATGCATTAAATATGAATTTGATATTTAAATAAAAAAATAAGGATTCATACAAATCTCGCACAATCCCATTCTCTATTCAAAACAAGGTTATTACCTGTAGGTTAACTGCAGGCCAATCTACTCAGATCACACAAGGCCTCATTGCCAGCTGAGTTATCATGTGTCACGCTGATGATCAATGTAGCGTTAAAAAGGCAAATGTGTATGCTATTTTTATTAAAAAGGCACATTTGTATACTAACAGCACATTCAGGTTCAGCCGGCTTGCATAAATCAAACAGGTTTAACGTTCGACATCGGACTGGACTGGCAGAACTTGAAATCTACTCTAGTGAACACAAGATGCCCAGTTATTTTGAAATGCTTTGTATCTGTTAATTGCTATCATAATAGCAACATCTGATTATTTGGATTCATATAGCTGTATAAAAACAGATTAATGGGGAATAGAGACGTCGATATCTACACAGAGATTTGTGATAATAGAATTTGTTTTAATATTTCAGTTTTTGTGTGAACATCAAGATGCTCAGGAATTTTTCACAATTCTTTCAACTGTTCACTGAAGACTTTAAAGCACTTTCAAAGGACTACAAGTGCCAGAAGTCACAGATATTTTAGTTTTTAGACAATAATGTTGTGTCTGCTTTCGGCTACTACCCCTAGTACACTGCATGTTGTGCACTGTGAACACTTATGCAGTGTGTGAATTCCGACTGTGTAGGGTTGTCTTAAATCCCAAAGCCGCTGTGCCCTGCCGGAAGTGAAGATGGCTGCCGTTAGCTAGCTGACAACATTTGTTTGTAGTACCAAATTGCTCAATTAACCCTATACAATTAACAATGACATATTTTCACCAGTTTTGTGGTACGCAACATTAATAGTGAAATAAAAACTCATGTATAACCTTTTTATTTGTAGAACTGTGTTCAGAGGAGCAACCTCAACCACAGCTAGACAACTAACTTTTGTTATGTGCACAAGATGGTGATGTTGAGTTTGAGAAGTGTCCAGTGATGCACTCAAAATAGCAAGTACAGAACTAAGCAATTTGAGACACACCATAAGATTAAACAAAGACTGGGGGACGTGTGCAGGGTCTTTATTTACAAGATACAACTTTATTTTGAGATTATTATCCGTCCTGCCCCTGGTAAAAATGTACAAGAATAACTGTAAACCTGTATATGTTGCTAAATTGTCTTCGAAGTCTCCCGTTAAACACTCTATGAATCTGTTTCAGAATATTGCAGTTAGTTTGTAGGGTTAACTTTCCGGTTGCAAACATCAGCTAGCATGTAGCACGGTTTGAGAGAGTGGTTTGCTAGCTAGCTAAAGCATATAGCCCTTGAGATGTTAAAGCTCTTGTTTACTCCACCAGTTTCTCCTTTTCCAGAGAGAACTGAGACTAGTTTGTGTTCTTTGACAATGTTTAGGCCATTGGTCTTCCAAGAAATATGACATCTTTCTTTTTATCAAGACGACAAGTAGACTAACTTCAGATAGGTGGAGATCAGAGGGACGTGTTGCAAACACGAGTGAAAATCTCACAACTTTATACTGATGTTGAGATTTTTCTGGGACATTAAAAACTCTTGAAAACCAATCTGTTGTATTTTAGTTTACTGAAACCAGCAGAAAACTGGGTATACTTCTGGGTGTTGGAATGTATCTGTTTTGACAGTAACCGTTGTATAATGAAATCTTGATATAGTGTAAATTATCAAAACAAATGACAGATTATTCATTGGAGGCTTTTAAAACAAAAGGGATTTTTGTACGCACATAAAATATTGTTTAGCAGCTACATTAAAAACACTTCTTGCCAATATCGTAGATCAAGTTGGCGCTAGCTGTGAGGCAAGGTGACATAGACATACATCTCAGTCCATTTAGCTGTCCATTTAACCAAACCCACTTACAATTACTTTAATTGACAATTGAATGTGTTATTGCAAGAAATATGGTGATGTTCAACGCTGTTATTGCATATTTTTCTTTCACCATGCAGCCCTGAAACTCGTACTCTTTGTGACAGGATTGCAAGAGATTTATTCTTGCCTCCACCTGCCGTCTGTGAAGATATTTTAAAGATCTCATTACAGGAACAAAGAGGTTCAGATATAAATATAGCTGTGTGTGTGT